ACAGTTCCAGAATGGTTCAGATAATGTTACAGTCACATTTTAGTTAAAATGATCAAAACTTATCTATTTTACTCGTATATAAACTATTGGAGCATTTCATTTCATACTTTCATGGCAGGCATATTCAGTATTTACCAATTATTTTGAAATTTTTAATTTTCCTTTTAGGTAATTTGTGGATTGTATTGGAAGTAAAGAAATGCTGCTACCAGAAATATTGAAAAGCCTTATCACGCAAGAACAATATAAAAATAATACTCATTTCAATTAAACAGTCCACAAACTACATATTATTAACATACATTTATACTACATGCAATAATGATAATAATAGATCAAAACTTGTCTTGAGGTGCAGACACAAGTACTACTTGTCAAACTTTGATTAGTAGGGACACAGGCCGAAATAGTCTGAGATTGCACAGTGTTAAACTCTGAGTAACAACATTTTTGAGGTTCTATTTTGTTATTTCTACATATAACATAATTACATTGGAGGTTGCTGTGATTATCATATTGGATTTCACGAATTTTGGAGTCATTTCAAATAACATTTGCACCTCAAGTGTTCATATCACAAATTTCATATATTTCAACCCTATCAGATAAAAACCTGTGTACAGTGACATGTTCATGTAGATAATATTATCAGATATAGTCTATTTGTTGATTTACACTATTTGTGAGTAGATGTAGAGGTGAGAACCTTGACCCAACTTCTTATGGTGTCTTTTTATACTCTCCTTCACACATTTATTGTCATGAATATTGAAAATATTTCAATTATGGAGACAAAATAAATGGCACCTGGCTTCCATTAGCTGATTCCTAGGACTAAATTGCATTTATAAGGTAATATAGCCTAGATTTGCTTGTAGATATCAAGATTGGTGAAAATGGAAAGATTAAAATATACATGTATAAGAAACTTGTAATTGGCTAAGACCAAACTGTGATATAGCTGAATTGTTTTATTTCCCACCTTCACCATTGATAGTTAAGGAATAATTTGAGCTCTTTAGGAAATATTGTACCTTGTAGAACATTTTTTTCAGTTTGTCAGGTTTATTTCAACAGAAAGTTTAACATGTTCTTGTTTGGGTCTGACATCCCTTTATCATCAACATTCTGGTAGATAAGTGTAAGGAATCATGAATTCATATCATTGTATTTGAAGATATAAGCTGGCGAGATATTTAGGCCATTGAACTTGAAGATAAAACTCAAAACGATTAACTTTACCTTGATATTAAGAAAATTAGGTTGAAATTCTTTTATATGAAATAGGGTAAAGAAATATATATTAGATCAAGAGCCCTTTTATACTGTATCAGTAATGTTAGTGGGCCTTTCAGTTTGCTATGTGTTTATTTTATTCATGACTTAACACTGTATTAGATATAAAAGATTAAAGAAGCTGGCTAAAATATATCTTCATTTTGCAACTCAAAAAATAAGAAATTTATTGCTAAGTAGGTACACAACTCAAAACTCATGAATACCATATGAGTTTGGGCAACCCCTTTCGTATGCAATTTATTGCTAAGTAGGTACACAACTCAAAACTCATGAATACCATATGAGTTTGGGCAACCCCTTTCGTATGCAGAGGTCGCTGCTTCAGATGAAGTAATTTTGATAAAGGGAACCATAGTTTCATCTATTTAATGATGTATTATTAAGTAGGAGGAATGCTTTGTCTTCAATTACGATGGGCCAAATTAAAGCCTCTTTTGGTGGCAAAAATATTTCTTGTTCTAATACTTATATTAAAATAAAATTTTTTAAAGTTATTAAGTTGCTTTAATTCCAGTGAATATTGTCAGTCCAGCACACAATGATTTGATTGTTTCAAAAAGAAATCATTTTGATTATTTTATCAATTGTCAATTGGTTTGAAGTACAAATTGAAGAGGAATTTTATCAACTGAAATGAAACTCATGACTTTAAAATGTATTCAAAATAAGATATTGGCCACTCTTAACCTCTTAATTAAAAAGATAATGTGTTTTGAAGAGGGTTAAATTCCATTGTTGACATTATATAAATTAGTTCTGCAGTATTCTATTGTATTACTTAATGTACATGTAATATATCTTTCAAGAACATACTTGCTCTCAATTGCACAATTGTTGTAGAGAAGAAATATTACAATGAATACAGGTAGGTTTATGTTGTGTTAATTTCAGTGTTGCAGGAATACCAGATACTTTTGATGTAATTGGAGTTGTAACTATTATGTGTCTAAAATAGTCAAAAAATATACCTAAGTTTTTTTTTTTTTTACTGTTTCATATTATTTTGTATTCTCCGCCGGTCCTGACAATTTATTTTATTTTCAATATTTGTCACTAATCACTTGGTATTAGTAGACTGTTGAATTTCCTGTATAATTCCTAATATAATCATTTAAAGATTCCAGTCAAAATAACCAATTTTGATGGGATTTATTTTGAATATTTAAATATGTTTTGGAATTGTATTGCAGACTACAGTCTTTGTACTGAATTGGGCTAATCAAATGTAATGATGTTATTTGTCATAATCACATTTGAGAAGGTCAATATTATTGACTCAATAACCATCTTCAATTGACAATCTTCTATCACCTGCATTACCATCAATATATTTTGATGACTGAGACATAGTATTACTCTCTAACTCTTCAATTAAGGAGATTTGAAATATAAACACTTATTTTATCAAAGATTGATTAAAACTGTATTAGATGACAAGAGGTTAAACATTTGGAGATAGATAAGGTTGTTTTTCTCTGCTTGATGAAATGGAAGAGGAGTTCAGATCAAGATTGTTCTAACCTGTTTTAATGTGGATATTGTTATGTTATTTATGACACCAGGTATATATATGCTCTTATTGACCAAGTTTAAAATTCTAAAAGTTTATGTTCATTCAAAGAAGTAGTATTCCTTTAATATTAAAGCGATTGTAACTAACAGATTTTTTACCTAAAATTTGTTTTCTTTGTTCAAAAGGTCTTCATTGAATAAATTATACTAAGGTTTTTGTGGATTTTAAAGCCCCCAGAAAGTATAATTTTGCAGATATTTCCATAGTTTATGAATAAGAATAATGACTACATTGTTCATTTGTTATATGATATTGCACACCAACTGTAAAGTATTACTCTAATAAGAAATAATAGTTGTCTGCAATCTTTTCAATTTATTTTCATTTTTTATGTTGGCTGATTTAACATATTGATAAGATTATTATCCAAATTACTATTATTATATTAAATATTATCTGGAACTACCTCTTGTCAAAACATATACATAATGTAAGGTATAATCTGATTGAGATGTGTTTTTATATTCATCTGAATATGATTTTGTTATTTTATTTTTTGTCATGTATTATGATGGTTATTTTGGAAAAATTCATTTTAAATTCTATATTTTCTGAAATGAGATATTGTATTGTTGTTTTATATTGGTTTTAGTGTAGGTAGAAAGTCGATGAATATTAAAACTATTAGTAAAGAGGTTATATTTCTTATGAAATATTTACAATCACTTTTTATATCTGTTACATTTTATGCCACGATTAGAGAATCCAATCCAAAGCCAGAAATCTTTACAAAGAAATTGATTTCAGGTCTTGTTAATTAGCCTATGGAAATGACATTTTAACTAGTCTGAACTGTGTATCAGGAACTATTTCACAGTAAGGGGTTTCTATTTTATTATGTTGATTTATGAAAAGGATATAACCCTGTTGGTAGAAAAGATGATGTAATTGTTTTCATTAGCTGATGTCCAATTGTTGATAATATAACATACTCACATGTAATTGAACTAATGTGATGAGACATGAGGGAAAATCAACAGAATGATTCAATTCTACCATTAAACTTCACATTCATTCCAGACATCCAGACATCAAATTGTCATTCTGAAAATTCTACATGTAGTTGAAATTGAGCTCTCTCAGTGGTAAACAAATGTTAAGTCCAGTATTATTATCCCTTATTTTCAAGACACATTTAAATTATTTGTTTTTTGTAGAAAGCACCAGGAAGAATGGAGTGGGATATCAGTTCCAATAAACTACATGGAATTATAACTAGCAGTCAGTAATCAAGATGAAGATAATATTATTACTACTAACATTATTTATTGTCAAGACAACTTCTGACTGTCTCTCATCTAAACCAGGTAATATCTGATTTTATTTATTACAATTCAGAATTTTCAAAGCAAAGTGTAGCCTGTAATAACTCACAAATTGAGGCTTGGGTTCTATGTTAGTTTCAGACCATGAAACACATGAGATTCACAAAGATATCGCTCTGTTTCTGTCATTAGAAACATTTTGCTATTGTTTGATTTGGTTTGCTGCTGGAATCAATTTCAAAAGTGAGTGATGTTAAGACAGAGGTTGAGGTAGATAGGTGATTCAAAGGGTCACATTTTATCTATCATATTTGAACTTAGCAAAGCAGAAAGGAGAATAGTAAGGAAATATCATATTAGTTGATTACTGATGGCAACAGTGATTTTTCAGAAGTTGGTGCCATAAAGTGGACTAAGTCCAACCACTGGTTTTTCTAGTTGTGGTTAAAGACTTGGTTGTTCTTAGATGCAGCCCGTTTTAAAATGTCAAAATAAAATAATATAAACGATGTAAATGTACAGTGAATTCCAACATTTGACAATCTGAACAATATGACATCTTTTTGTTTTAGTCCCAATCAATATTTTTCTTATGTCAATAAAAAAAAACTCTGAATACTACAACATTCTGTTTTTTAGGACTCTTCATCTCTTACTGAAAAATAGACAATCGCTTGTATTATTTATAATCAGGCATCATATCGAATAAAACCCTGAACTGAACTTTGAGTACTCAGAGATTCTTCGTTATCTGACATCTTTACACGGTCCCAGTGCTTGTTGGATTACTGAATTATATGTATTGAAATATATTTTGTTAATATATAAAATCATGACACAGTTAGATTATTAATGATATTTAAATGTCATTAATAGATTATTATCAGAAAAGAAGATTTTACCATCTTAGACAAAGATTACCAATAGTTATAGAAAACAGTAATAGATTATCACACAGAGTTGCCAATGAAATCTTAAAGATTCTATTGAAAGAGGTTATTGGGTACACTGATGTGGAATTATTAAATGAAGATTCTATGAATGCTACTGGTATTTTAGATAGAATAGCAGGCTGTTCAGTCCAACAGTGAGTTATTATCACAATGTCGTCTTTAAAGCAGTCACCAAGCAGTTTTTATTTGCCCACATGAATATTGTCGTCGCCCCTGTCCGTCTGTCCTTCCGTCATCATTTCTTGTGAGCACTATAGAGGCTACAGTTTTCAACTGATTTTGATAAAACTTGGTGTGATGCTTTAAATTGATAAGATCTCGGTCAAGTTGGAAATTGACGTATTTTCGAAGAACAGTTTGAGATATTTCCCTTGACTTTGTTAAAACACGTCGAAATTTGTTAAAAATAGTTTGTGAGCAGGATTGAAGCTACAGTTTTCAACCGATTTTGATGAAACTTGGTGTGATCATTGGAATTGATAAGATCTTGGACCTTTAACTTGACGCATTTTCGACGCTTCAATATGAGAAAATTCATACTTTAGTCACTAAAGACTGTTTTATCATTTCTGACAGCTGCCAGTGGGCGTATGTTACCTTGCCTCGCAAGCTATCTTTACTTAAAAGATACTTTTTAAATTAATAAACTAGATTTAAAGGTCGGTGTTGTAAATAAGTTTCTGATGTTTATGAAAATTAAAAAAACTGCAGTTACACATCAGCAAGTCCTAAAAATATATTAGACTTCAAGTGAACACTGTTTTTTAACCCTGTGCCACTAACATAGATTGTTACGCTGATTAGAGTGATTTTAAGATAATATAGGTCCCAATATTACAGGTGTAATGAAGTGAGTATAGAATCAGTACCAGAAACTATGATAAATATTGAGGTGTGGATGGTAGCAGGTTTTGATAAATCACCATGGACTTCTATTGGTAGACTTAATGATTGTGGCCCACTTGGTCCTTATGGCAGGTAATTATATCTGAAATTGCAATATTCCTTGATAAAATAATAATCACCAAATTAATTTGACTAATGACAATTCTCTTAAACCTTAACATTTACTATTAAGATTATGTTACCGATTAACCCTGTGCCTATGGCAGCTGTTGAATAGTACATTATTACTTTCAAAAACCATAGCTTCTGAAGTTTTTAAAAATCATGAAATACAGGATATTTAATATGTTTATGAAATACTCTCATAAATACACAAAAGCATTGTATGCTAATGGATTTTTTGCTTACAGAATTGGATGGTTTATGCAGACAGCTGTTGTAGATGAATTTTGGAAGAATGGAATCATTATAGACCATTGGAAATCATTCCTAAGACCAGAAGTTATTGAAAAGTTTTCATGGACAAATAACTTGACTCATTTAGATGTTTGTGTTGAAGTGGATTGTTTATCTAGAATATATAAACCACCTATTTGTTCAAATACAACTTGTGCTACACTCTTCACTAGTTATTATCGTAAGTTTTTTTCTCTTGTATATATTGTCTTCTCTATTTACTGTTGCATACATGTAAGGCATCTTGTTGAGTATGTAGTTCTAGCTTTTTCTTAATGATTCAGTGTATAATATAATGACTTGAGGTGTGGCACCAGGCAATGTATGTTACTATTCTAGACACCTGATATCACATTTCATTCTGAAATGCTTATTTACATACGATTGATTAACTTCCTCATATGAAAATTTCATTAGCTGTTGCCAATGTCTCGTCAATTTGTCTGATTTGTTTTGCAGTTGGGATTGTTTGTACATAGGTTTTTAGTTGGGATTGTTCATACTTTACCTTGATTGGAAACAAGGTTTTAAATAGTTTTTTTTTTGTCTTTCAAATTCCATTTCAATAATTATTGTTATCCTTTTTGAAAGATTTTTTAAAAATTTCCAGGTTTAGATAATGAAGTTTTACAGGAACAAATTCTAAATCTGGATTTACCAGTAGAAGTTGTATCTCTTGGAAATCGTCTGGCATTTTTTGTCCATAAACAAACTATAGAGAAGAAACCAGTGCTATTTTTTGATTGGTATCCTAATTCTTTAACAGCTAGTCATAACTATACTCGTGTCAAACTTCCTATCTGTAGTGGAGACCCTCTACAACAACCTTTTGATTGTGATTTTGATGTGAATCAGTTTTCTAAAGTTGTTTGGTTTAAAATCAAAGAAAATGCTCCAGAAGTTTATAATGTTGTCTCTAAGATGACATTTAGTCAGGAAGAATATGAGAATATATTACATAAACCAATGAATATGTCAGATTTTGATATAGCATGTTCATGGGTGAGAGAAAATAATAAAACTTGGAAACATTGGCTGCCAACAGATTTATCCAACAAAACCAAAGTATATATTGGTGGATTATTCCCCTTGACTGGACCAAATTTAGAGCAGCCAGGATTAGTTGAAGGTTTGTGGGAGAAAAATTATACTCGTTGTACAATATAGTTGTTTCAGAGTTATTTAAATACCACAACTGATTTTAAAGAAGGTTTTTGATGTTTGTTTTCTCGTGATCAGAACAACGTTATGAAATAATTTAACAAGTATTGAACCATTGTCAGATGTATTTCATACTGAAATCTTAACATATCATTTTGTCAACTCTTACATCTTTGTAATGTGAAATGCAAGGTATTTAATTTGTGCTGAACAAGATCTTGTTGAAGTAGCTATTGAAATTGAAATTTATTTCAGGTGCAAGATTAGCATTGGACTATGTGAATAAAGAAACAGATATCTTACCAAAACATCATTTAGAATTAATCATATCAGATTCTGAATGTAAACCAGATGTAGCCATGAAAGCCTTTATTAAGTTAATCAATAGTAAAATGAAAATACCTTTAGCAGGAATACTAGGTATAGTTACACACTAATTTTTGGAATTAAGTCAACATAAAACTTAGCTTCAAGCTAAGGCTAGGCTAATCTCAATTTTCCTTTCATGCACCAAATTGGCTAGCCACACCCCAAGCTGACAATTTAACTATACCATTGTTTCAAGCAATGATATGTTACTATATAAGGTCATTACGTAGTTGATTGTTATTATTTCAATGATTCTTATTAATTCTTTATCTGGCATCATTGTAGGACCAGCTTGTTCTGATGCTGCTGAACCAATAGCTGCCTTATCAAAACATTTTAATATGGTAGTTGTTAGCTATGAAGCTGAGGCTGATTCTTTATCAAATAGAAATAAATATCCTTACTTCTTCCGTACAATACCTCAAGTAGATCATCATAGGTAGGTGTTGTTCTCATAAATAATTCAAATATAAATATTCGAAAATATGACACTTTTCAGTATAGAACTGCAGCAGGTATTAAGATGTTTATCAAGATTGCAAATATAGCAATAGATATATTCAATAAAAGGCAAGTAATCCAGGGACTAGATCAATATCTATCAAGTACTATTGTTTATTACAGATTTGTATATGAGAAGTTTTTTAAAGCTATGGAATGGTACCATGTTGGTGCTCTAGCAGAAGCTGGACAAGAATTACCAGAATATCATATAGAATTACAAGAACATCTACATAAAGAAGGAATATCTGTCTCAGTTAAACGTAAAATAACTAAAGATGCTCAGGAATTGGATGTTTCTCAGATATTTTCTGATCTCAGATCTCAGAATGTCAGAATAATTATTGCTGATTTTTTTGTTGGTGCTGCTCGAGCTATCATGTGTGAAGCTTATAGACAGGTAATTCATCTGTGAATTAATTTGGGGGATCAATACTATGTATACATTCACAGCTGTGTTGAAATATCAAAACTGCAAATAGATAAAGCCACAAATTCAGAATTTTTTTTTTATTCAATTTCATATGTACTGAAGTTTGAATGCATTGTAAACTACCCATTATTTTATTTTCTAGAAAATGACAGCTCATCAAGGCTATGTGTGGTTTTTACCATCTTGGTACACAACAGATTGGTGGGATGTTGATTTCTATAACAGTCCACCTAATCCTGGTGATTTTAGACCTCAAGAATCAGTACCATGTACTACTGAAGAAATATTGTACGCTATAGATGGTCATTTTATTTTGACTAAAGCGTTCACTGATGTTGATAATAAATTAGTAGCTGGTGGTATAACAGTCAAGGATTATAAAGATCAGTATTCAGTTAGAGTTGGTCGAGCTGTAAGTATGTAATTTTTGGATATCATTTATAAATTTGGTATACCAGTTGGATCATTCTCTACTTGGTGTAAAATGCTTGTGCTGGAAAAGGACCAGTGCTATTTTGATCACAGTAATGTGGTTTTTGTCATGCCCCATGTTAAATACCTTACTGATATACTTTTAGGATGTAGAAGAGAGTGAATTTTCTAGTTTTGTTTATGATGGTGTTTGGGTATTTGCTCATGCTTTACATAAATTATTGTCTCGTCATCCTGGTGTGGAAAAAAGACTACAAGATCCAGATGTTCATAAGTGAGAATGGTTTATTTATTACACCCAAATTCTATTACTGGTGTTAGGCTTTACAAAGTTATTATGTAGTCCAAAGGAACTGAAATATCCAACTTGATGGATTTGAAGATGGTCTATAGGCAAATGTTTCAAATTACCTGTTTTCATTAGACCATTCAAGAGCAAACAATTAGAGCATAAAACAATTTCTTTTCATATTAAATAGTTACTTCACTCCAATTACCAATTTAGCATACAGAAATATCTGCAGATGGTAGGCCCACCACGTATTAAATCTCTTAATATTAGATCAGAGCTTTTGACTCACTTTAAAGCTAAGATTCTATGACGCGTATACAGCATGCAGAAATTAGTGGGTCTATGTATCCTTCATGCGTCATAAATGATTTCATATGTGCGGAAAATGTATGTGTTATCTTTCTTTTGCCTCACAAACATATACTCACCACCCAATTGATATCATGTGGGGTCCTTTTAACGTCTTTTCCATTGATCTCAATGATCTTGGCAATCTGTCATTGTACAAAGGGTGTTTTCTCACAAGCTCAATGAGTTTTTTAGAAGTTTCTGTTGAAATCTCTTTTGTCAGAATATGGAGGGAAAATAGACAGGAAAGCTCGACAAAATACGTCACATTTGGGAAATCTCTGTGTGGAAATGCATCCGGATCCGTCAGTAAACGCTAGCGGTATTTTATGACTCATGACTGAGACCATAAGTAATGGATACTGTTTCACGTGTATGGAATCTGTCCCTCATTAACAAGCCATTCTGATTTTAACGCATGCTGTATACTGTATGAATCTTAGCTTTAGTTTGATGGATTTTTTCTATCTTGATGCCAAAAGATATAATCATAGGATGTCATGTATAGTACTTCATGAAAATTTGAGAACATAGACCTTATATTAAAGAGTATTCAGGATGAATTTTTAACATAGACATTATGATCTTTCAGTGTGTTTATGGATGCGCTAAATGAAACGAGTTTTCAAGGTGTATCTGGGTATATACAATTTGATGGTAGTGATAGATTGGGTAATGTAGATGTCATCCAGTTCTTTCACAATGAGACTAGATTAATAGGACGGTATACTCCACTAGGAAATAATGATGAAGGTTATCTAGAAATTTATAATAAACGAATCAAATGGTTAACACCAACAGGAATGAGACCAAATGATGGTCATGATTGTAAGTTCATTTTGTTATCTTGACTTGAAAATTATCTTTGCTAATATTGAGTAGTTAATACTGAACTCAGTACAGAACTCATGAAGTTGAGGCTTAATAAATCAGAGATTAGAGTTTTTACTTTATAGCAGTCAGGGATCAGTAGGCCTAATGCTATGACAAAATGATTTGTGCATCCACATGACATTGCATCAATTCCCTTACATGTAATTACACCTACATGTCTATTGTATTTTTTTTTTCAGCCCACAGTCAGTGTGCTATAGAGGCATTTAGATTGTTTTTAGGATGTACATGTGATATGGCTGTTACAGTAGCTAATATTATGGGGTTTGCTGCCTTTATCTGTGTTACTATTATCTGTCTTGTTCTTATCAAATGCAGGTAGGTTGTCAATTTCAAACCTTCTGTCTTTTACAACCAAAAACATTTTCATAACTTCTTATCCAGTTACTTGAAACTACCAAATAAAATGAATATATTTTGATTTCTAGATATGATGCAAAAGTAAGAGTTACTACAGAGAGAATGAAAGAGTTGGGATTATTCTCTACAGATTTTGCCCAATGTTTATCATTAGATCAATGGGAAGTGAACAGAGAGTGTGTTGTATTAAATAGAAGATTAGGTGAAGGTGCATTTGGAACTGTTTATGGTGGTGAAGCTTTCCTGGATCCTGAGGGATGGGTAGCTGTTGCTGTTAAAACTTTAAAGATTGGGTCAACAATGGAGGAGAAGGTAAGAATTGTTTCTATTTTATGAAGTTTGCATTGATGGTTAAAAAAACCTTGGTTAATGCTTTGCCTTTCTTATTTAATGTTTTGACTTTCCATCACAAAAAAACAGTACCGTTGAGAAAATGATCTTTAAAAAAAGTTTTGTACATTTTCGTAGTTATAACGCTCATTATCTTTCAGTTGAATTTTTTAAGTGAAGCTGAAGTAATGAAGAGATTTAAACATGATAATATTGTACAGTTATTAGGTGTTTGTACAAGGGGAGAACCTGTATATTGCATCATGGAGTTTATGTTGCATGGTAGGTCTCCATTTATATGTTATGATGCACATTCTTGCATTTTATATCCTACTTACATATTTGCACAAGATAAGTATCCATAACATAAATTTCTTATATATGATAAAATGAATTGTTATTTCCAGTTTTGGGAAAGACCATGTGCAACAATATGTACATGTCACAACTCTTGTACATCCCATTTCTCCACATCAATGAATATTGTTAATCTTCTAACCAGGTGACTTGAAAACTTACCTATTGTCAAGAAGAAATATTGTTGATAATAAAGATATTAGAGAAGCTGAAGATATAAATGCTACCAGTTTAACACAAATGGCTAAAGATATAGCTTCTGGTTTGATATATTTACATGGTCTCCGATATGTTCATAGGTAAACAATTTTGGTAGTTTCGTTAAATAGTTTTTAATGGTAAGAAGCCTTTTTTATCATAATTAATTTGGCAGTACAGAAATTTCAGAGTTTGAGTTGGTATTTGGTAAAAGTTTCAAAGTAAAGGTAGAAGTGTTGTTGTGGTTTAGGGAAACACTAGTAGCTTCTGTATATTTTGCCTTTATTGAATGCCAATCCATTGTTAAAGCATGTTAGTCACATGAATAGATACAATTATATCTTAATCTAATAAATGTGGCTGTTGTTACACCATATTGTTGTTGAAAACCCCACGATTACTTTTCTGTACAATGTCACCTCTGCTGGGAGACTAAAGGGAAGTGGTGCTGGTTATCTCCCCTGACACATTTTTTTTTTATTACAGAGATTTAGCTTGTAGAAATTGTTTAGTACATGCTGATAAAACTGTTAAATTAGCTGATTTTGGTATGACAAGAAAAATGCATGATTCTGATTATTATAGATTTAATAGAAAAGGTGAGTCAGGATTCGTGATCAGTCTGAAAAATGAATAAAATGTATGGCAGTTATGAAGCAAAAGAGTTGAAAATGACTACACTATACATACTCTTTCCAATTTCCATGTACATGTACTAAGATTTACCAATTTGTAAATAATTGCCTCCTTGGATGCTGAAATTCATTTCTCAAAAATTTTGATTTTCATTTTTTTGGATATTGAAATATTGGTTTTCATATAATGGAAACTTCTGGATGCTGAAAGGAACATTTTGGCCATTGAAATCTCTGAGGTGTTGTATATATATGCAAAACTGATTGAACTCTTTGTAATAGAAATTGATTTAGCAATGCCCTTCACATCAGAATTACTGTATGAATATGGAGGATCTCAGACTATCATATAATTATATATTACAGGCATGTTACCTGTACGTTGGATGTCACCAGAAAGTTTATGGGATGGTATATTTACAGCTAAATCAGATGTATGGAGTTATGGTGTATTAATTTATGAGATTATAACATTTGGTAGTTTTCCTTATCAAGGCTTATCAAATAATCAAGTATTAGAATACGTAAAAACAGGAAATAAATTAGTGATGCCTAATGGCTGTCCTGGGCCTGTGTAAGTTAAATTTTTCATCATTTCTTCCTGGTCTATTTAGATGTGGTAACAGTTTAAATATATCCTTGTGATGGTGAAAAATATACCAGTGTTTTTTATTTCGTTATTACTTATTGACAAAATATATTGTATACATGATTAAATTGAAACTGTCTGTTTCCAAATGATAGTATCTGACAACAGTGACCCTAATCATATCAATTTATAACTTTTTATTATAACAGGATTGAAAAGGCCTATAGTGAAATAGGTAATGATTTATTTAAAAGATTATTGTAATACTTGTTATTGTATGTATAGCATTTGATTATTTACATATTCCCCGACTTTTTCTTTACAGCTATGATTTTCTGAACTGGTGTTTATCTTTTGATATGAAAGCTAGACCAGACATTCATCAAATATGTGAATTTTTGGAGAAATTTCCTGATTTATTAACACCATGTATTGAAGCGCCAATGACAAGTGTGGTAATGGAGGATACAGACTCTTTGGAGATGGCGCTTCCATCAAATCAAAATACTGTTAATTTACCAGCGTCTCCTATCGCTTACCTTCATAGACGATCTCTTGGTTCGCAGGAGAAGCTGCCTGTAGCTAGAAAAACTTCAAATACATTACAGCCAGGTACTAAAACAATACCAAAGTCTCAATCGCGGACTATTTTAATGCCAAATGATCAGTCTAGACGTAATAGTATTACCACACCGTTAGTCACACAGTATGTAAATTACGACATACATAGAAGTAGTTCTTATCAGAAACAATTAATGACACTGGCAGCAGGTGATACAAGTGATTATTTCAGTGATAATTCAAAAGAAATTCAAATACAAAATTTGCGAGAGGGTGGTGTGAAAGAGATTTGTCAAACAGTAACTTCATTGTGATATAATTCAATATGTGATCATATTGTGATTATCATCAGGTTGTGTTCAGTGTTAATTTTGATCTTCGTGTGTAAAAGATAATATTGATTCAGTAGGATTCAGAACTCAAAAGATTTATCGTGGATGTGCTAGAAAATGGCTTGTTTTGAGAAAACATTCCTTAATTCCATGATAAAATTAGTTGCTATACTTGAATGACGCATGAATCAAGTCAAAAGAGTTGACAGCTTCATTCATTTCCATATGTGCTTTTTTTTTTTAAAGTTATTGATGAAGGGGGCCATCTTGTTTTAAAAAGGGGTAAAGAGTCAGTTAAGTCAATATTAACCTTGAAACAGCAGGTCATACTCTTGTCATTTACAATTATATTAATAATATCAGTCTGCTATCTACATCATTAATCTATCCTATTAGAGATTGTGTTAGATTATAGAGTATATGTTAGAAATATAAAATATGCAGAATAATTTTCTTTCAATATATTGTTTTATTATATATCTAGCTGGTTGAGAATTAAGTGACATTGTAAGTGGCTGTCTGCTGTAATGATTGTTAGATGTTGTCTTCTTTGATAAACCAAGATGTAAAGCTGCACACTGTTCATTGACAAGTTCATTGTAAATATGTGAGGTTCTATCTAAAGTGAAATTTTCTCACAATCACCTCTTTCTACAGAGAAATCACTTTAAATTTCTTAGAATGTGAAATTTTTACATTTTGTATTCTGATGTGTAAGCCCATTTGTCTTGCAATTAAAAGAAGCTGAACAATAGATTTCATATTGACTAAAGTAGCCAGGAATAAGATTTTAGTCACAAAAAAGCATTGTGAGCACATTTTCAAGTAACATATCATAGCAGTAGTTTTCCTGACAAAGTGTTATTAACTCACCTTAAACATAATGGACACAGTACTGTATAAGCTGAGGAGCTTACCTTTACAAGTCCTATTATTTGACAAAAATGGCACATGTTTTATTTCTTTGTTATTTTGTTTTTGTTGTATTCATTTGCTGAGATAAATGTCGTATCTATGTTGAAATATGTTACTATTAAAAAATGTATTGTTATATTATAATAGTTATATTTTATTCAAGTGATTCTTTGACTAAATGCTAATATGTGAAACAGTGGTAAAATAATGATTCTTGTTATTGTTAACTTCTATCGTCAGACAATAGTAATTATTGAAGGGAAATCAACTGCTTCTTGTAATAATAACTTGCAAGTTTAAAATTGCATTCATGATGGTAATTACAAGGCAATTAATACTCCTGGATATACTACAACAAAAACAAAATCATAACCTACATAATATGTAGTTGGAGACACGAGTCGTGTAATAGAATATATGGCAATTTGTACGGGAAAGAAAAAACTCTGCGTATGTTCACTTTTAAGACGGGAAAAAGATGATTCAACACTGTTTGATATTTTGAATATTTAAAATCATAATGAGAGAGGGGCGATGCTGTTCCAATTGCGAACTTTTGCTGAAAAGTGTTAAAAAAAAGTTTTTGGCGCACCATTGAAGAATAGTGCGCCCCTTGATAATTCGTCGCTGGTGGGGCAAGTTCCACCTCGACACTATTTTATTCTGTTAAAATCTACCTTTCGGACCCAAATTTTCACCATTAGCGGACTCAGATTGTCTTTAATCTCAAGGTAGATGTGTTGTACACACACTGAAACCGTACAGATAACTTTCAATCACTTTGGTTTATTTTTAAAATTCAAAACAAAGAAATAAATTCAGATTTTTGGAAATTGGTATATCCCCTTTAACCTGTAGAAATATTAGGATAATAAATAATACTCCATTTTATCTGAAAATCTCTGGTAAATAGTTATTTGATAAATATTTCATTGTAAAATTTGACTTTTTCGCACAAAAACAAGTACAATTTCAAATTTTTTCAACATAAACGTTTATGACGTCACGACATATTTTTACTATAACGTCCGCGCTAACAATATAAAACAAATTATTACTATTTTTTTTATTGTCACTTAATTTAAGAGTTCAAAGGAACGGTCGTTTAAGGTTAGTTAGTTTTTTATTGCAAATTTTCTTTTCGGACTCCCCAGTCCGATATAAACTATTGTTTGTTAACAATATTCGAATCGTCTTTTTAACTTTCAAACGCAGATAATTCTTGACACACGTGGATTGGAAGGCTTAAATTTTGATTTTATGCTATGAACACTATTTCTAATTAGTTTAGGTTAAAAGATTCCCGTTTCTCGGACTAAGGTACGATTGGTCAAACGGATGACAAATCTATTGCTTTAAAAGACTGTTATACTACTCGAACTCAACTCGAACGAACTCAATAGATGATGGTAACATATCTGGGATGGGAGCAATACAGAATTAACCAAAACATTATAAAATGTTCAGTTAGATGCACTTAGAACTATATGCAAGGTGAAAGGTACCAGCCATCAGGAATTATATAATGAAACGGGATTTATAACCTTACAAGAGAGGCGGAGGAGGCGTAAACTTATATTGATGTTCAAAATGTTATATAATCAAACTCCCGCTTATCTTTCAAACCTTGTACAATACACCAACACACCTTATAATCACCTAATTAGAACGTATATCTCCATTCATTTCATTACATTTTGCATTAAATGCTCACATTAAAGCTGTAATGTGGGCTATACCAAGTTTAATAATCTAATCTTAAGGAGAATTCGAACGTGAACGCATTTCATATTATTTTCCAAGTTGTCATTATTCGATATCATTGATATAATAACACTGGAGAAAAAGGTACGGACAGTTTATTGCAAGTAGATATCTGCATAATATTTAGTGTGTATGTTGAAATATAACGATATAATTATAAAGTTCGGAGTTTTTGTAAGTAGAAGAAAATGTGGGAATCTATATTTTCTTACCAGTGTCTTCATTTTTATTATTTTAAAAGACAAGGTTGGATAGTTTCAAGGTTAGTTGGATTCACCATGAGTTGTGATTATCTATTCGGGGTGACTTACCTGGCTTTTATATTGGGTGGGTGGCGGCCATATTTTTTCAACAGTAGTAAATATGGCGGACCAAGGGCGGACAAACAGGCTTATGTTTTAAAAACAGTTATTTACTTTGACCTAATTTTGGCTCTATATTTATTTGTTGTTTTCCTCAAAGTAAGTTAAAGACATATTTATTTACAATTTGGCGTTTATTTTGCTTTAGGGACACATCGCAGCATGTTAATATTGTTGACTCCAATGGATTTGGTTATGATTCTGCCAGTATGGGATCTGCCGTTGTCATACGGTTAATGAAACCATGTGACTGTTGGTATAGAGATGGTAAGACAAGTGGCGAAGGATCTCTTTGACGGGAGAGGGGGGATGCACCTCGGCTTCACTTTTTTGGATTTTAGAGGGCACTAGTCATGGTGGGGGTTCAGTGGGGCCTCCGAAAATTCCTTATCAAGGAAGGCGGATAATACATTTAACGCGACTTTGCAATAAAAGTAGAATACATTTTTAATTTCCTGCCATAAACGATAACCAGTGGAGTCCTCTCCTGCCCATAGATCTCTCCCCACACCATGACATTCCGTCGTTCAACCTCTTGAGCGCAACACAGCACCATTCTTTCATATCTTCGGCGATTTACATTTTGCCTCCCATTATCTCTGAACAAACAGATGTGATGTCAGCATGAGTGGGCTCCCATCCGTAGGTCTACTATTCGTTAGACGTGGCATTCTTCTTGTGATACTCCTGCATGGAAATGTGGACGCAAGTTTAGTTGCCAATATAATCCCTACTTATCATTCGTACACCAAATCAAGTTCCACCAGAAGCAGCAATACGACTTATATGTAAAGTTATTTAAGTTTTGGTGTCCAGATTTAACAAGTAAAATAAATTTATCATAAACACGAAATTAAAGTTAAACCTAACCACATTCTACAAAGTTTTAATCGTCTGGGTTACCGTTGTCAATGATTTACGAAAATGTTCTTCATTTAACTGAGAATGGCTTAGTTCAGAGAGTTATCATTATTTATCTCATTTGGAGAAATCTTGACGCCGCACTTCATACAATTATAGTTTAGAAGAGTAAAATGAAACTGTTAAATATGAAATATAAATATCAATAGACAGAACCCCTCATTAAATAGATTATACAGCCAAATTCCAGGGTTCATTTAGAGATTCATTGTATTCGGCGTTTTCAATCGTTATAAATGATAACATGGTGACACTAGTTCCTCTTACTTAAGTTTGTAGACTACTGAAATAATTACAAGAATTAACGCAACGAAAATATATCTCAGAGTAGTCCATGACCTACCTAACATCCTGATGGCTAGTTTGAGGGTTCCGGATTTGTTCAGGAAGTTGGTTCACAATCTTCAATAACGGACGCCAGAGTCTGCCTTATTTTTGATAAACAATGTTTTGAGATGTGATCTGAAATAGGGGGAACTGTCATAATAGCTATCTGTAGCTGTGAAATGGAATGTTTCCTATGCAGTCATTTCTTGAATATATGTTTTAAGAAGCACTAGAAATGTGCGAAAAACGCACAATGCCTTCAAAAATATCTCAAACTATGAATTTCTTTTCCTATTTCTATAGATGTGTTTTCTATATATATACCTATATAAGTATTAAGTATTTGACAGAAGTAAGATATAGCCACCAGAGACTAGTTGTGCATATGAATTTAGGAGAAAACGTTAACAGGTATTAAACGTACCCGTTTTGTACGTTGTTAGGTTTCATATTCCTTTAATTCCATTAAATAAAAAATACTATCCATTTCTTGTGTATAGTTTATGTGAGAAAAGTTAACATTTACATTTCTAATATCAATATCAACAACTTTAATCATTAACTATTATTGAAGTTTCATGCAAGTGTGATTAGATTTCTCTAGCATCAATTTCTTGATTAATATGAATACTTATATATATTAAAATGGTCCAAAGGCTTTACTTTGACCGACATTTTTGTCATAATCCTTCACAATATAGTTATTTAACAGACTTTTATATATGAAAAGTTATGTGAAACAGGAAACTGGGCGGAATAAGGCTTGCTAGACAAGTTAACGTACGCTCACGGCAGCAGATAAAATAATAATGAAAATGCCGTGGCAATTGATTGAAAAAACCACTAACGATTACAACACAATAGAAACTTGAAATCCATTTAAACCTGTTTCAGAGCTCATCAATACACATGGAAGGATTAATGGACACAATTGGCGAAGTGAAAGTCAAAAACTCGAAAGAAATTAATCAAAAAAATGTCAGCATTGACCTTGTATGAGAAGTTGTTCTTCCGCATTAGTAAACCAAGTTGCAATCGAATAGACTACCAAATTATGTTGGTGTCTTGAGTTAGCCGCTATAAGAAATGTTGAAGGAGAGACGGACGGATAGGTCTATAATGGGACATAAAAAATTTATCAAAGAAAATATTGATACCTGGCATTATACATCACAGCCTTTGGTCGATTAGGTCTGAAGGTTACCATAATTCTCGCTAACAATTTCAAGATCATTAGGGGTAGTTAGCAAGCAGAGTATACTCTTTGTTTAAATTACAACAGTATTTACATTTTCTTATTTACAATATTAATATCTAATAGTTACCAATTATAAAAATATGAATATTAAATATTAAATTAAGTGTGACGATATTTATACAGACACGATCGTGGAGAAATCTTTTTTATGATACGTTATCAATAACAATGGTTCTTGTTAAAATGGAGATGATGGTTATTAAAACCACTTGTTGGTTCATTGTTGAAACTCCACCTGTAAAGAATCAAAATGAAACATGTTGAGAAACAAAATTTGATATAATAGATTTGATATAAATGTTTGTAACTTATACTAAGTAAGTATAATGAAGTAAATGGACTTTCCCAAAAGGATGCAATGATCCTACACAAGTTGAAGTTGAATAATTACCCTGACAAAATAATTCTCCAATGAAAAAAAAACATAACACACACTATCAGCTGTCAGAAATGATAAAGTCTTTAGTTAAAAGTCCAGGCATAGCCTCAAAAACAGTTCAAAAAAATTATTATCAAATTTAAACATGAACACGGTCCCACTAAGTTACAAACAACGGCAATAGCTCTGAAACTGCATGTTCATCAGTATATTACCACTTTCGAACATGACCGAGATCTCATCAATATATACATGTATACCAAGTTTCACAAGATTGGATAACTGAGGTCTCAATCGTGCTACAAACCAAATTTTTACTAAGTCACTAACTCCGAAAGCGATCATCCGATTGTTACCAATTTCGAATTTGACTGAGATCCCGTCAATATATACATGGATGCCAAGTTCCGGATAAGAACTGTAGTCTCTATCGTGTTTACAAGCCAAATTTGACGCGTTTTTACGAAGTCAAGGGCAATAACTCAGAAACCGTTATTGGAGAAATATATTGGTAGCATCTAATAATTTTTTCAAATGAGGAAGTATTTCAATCATATATATTTCATAATGAAAAGAGGCATTAGATGTCTTGAATAGTAAGCATGCCCTGTCTAGTGTCACGCCCGCTTTATTTAGCGGCCTCGGTTTATTGTCCCATCAGAACGACTAGACGCTTTTTCCAGGGATAAATCGAGTTGAAAAACCTTCAGGTTAACGAACAAGCGTCTAACTCACTGAGCCAGTGCAGCTTCCGGGGGTAATTGATGAAAACATTTCTATTTAATTTTAAACACGTAAATCATTTGAGTATATTGCTTGTCCATGGAATCAAATATGTGGAGTTTGGATAAAATTATACCGTAGTTTAGATTTTGGTTGACACTAGCATCTTATTAGACCGTCGATCCCATTTAAAAAGTAAAAAGTGACTGGCTGACTGCAGTTTCAATTGACTGGCTAATCAGTTTGTTTTTTTCAGCTAGCTGAAATTGCTAGAAAAAAAAAAATTCAGTTGAATAAAGCGACTGAAACTGATTTCTTTAATTAAATTTATTTAATTGAACATACGTTATACACGACAGGCATCATATAGAAGTCACAAATGTTAATCAAAATGTTATAGTTTTAAATTATCACGCATGTTCAGCAATTGACGATCGTCTTGAATTCAAGACAAGGTCTGTGATAGAAATCATGTCCTCTACTACAACGCAGCTTGCACGTATGGCAAGATATTCCAAGCAAAATCAGCAAGTTGAGAATATAAAATTTAATGTCTTCTGCTAGTGCCTCTGTCAAAAATACTTGCTAATCTCACTCTCATAATCAAGTTGACTTGGACCTTCAGCAGAGCTAATACGGCACATTTTTAGATGACGACCCTAGCTCATCATCTGGTACTAAAGTTTGGCAAAACAAGAAGAGCTTTCATGCATCCTTGCAAATGTGTGTATAAATAGACCTATTAACTTATTTAGTGATGTGAAGATTACAAAGTGGCGAATATCGGCTGACTTAAATAAGCGGCCCATTACAAACACTACTGGCAGGTTCAGGCTGAAAAGAAATCGGCGGTTAATGGCAGTGGCTCAAGGGTGCACATCTCTTCAATATTTACTTGACTGAATACTTACCAGAACATATTTCCTTAATTTCTTGAGCAGTTGTAACCATAAATTCTTCCAAATCTTCTCCTTGCACATTATCACATGATTCTACCATTCTTTTAATACATTCAAAGGCTGATTCGAATAGTCTACAATGGTAAGGTACAGACATTTGCTACAATATTTATCAATTAATATACACAAAAAGTACAAACGCATTACCAAGGCTAGCCCCCGTGTTGTCATGGACAAGCTACGTTGCGACCACATTGTAGTGGTTGAACTCTAGTGAGAAATCAATTCCTGTACCTGTAGTATTGTCATGTCACGATTCACATACCAGTATATTTATTATACATACATGCAATAATTGGTTTTAGATTGTTCTGTTGGTCCCTCTGCTGGGATCATTTCCATACAAACTGTTGGATTGCAGTCACTAAGTATACATTCAAAGACTGAAATAAATAAATTGGATTAATAGTAAAAGAGTTAACGTTCACATACAGTTGGCTTCCGTCTTAATAGAGCAACATAAGGAAGTGCGATTTGGATTCCCAATGTACCGAAGTCCTAGACGGTATTGGCACATCACAAAAACGTTGAAAGATGTCACATTGCTGTCTCTTGTAACTAATGGAAGTCATCAAGTAGATTGGAGTAGATTCAAAGATCGTGATATTGTTAGGATCCATCGTAAACTAATCAATTGTTTTCTGTGAATTTGTCTTTGGTGTTCTGGTTGATCCACTGCAGAGCAGGCAAACATAGAGAGTCGTTCATGTGACGAGTAATAGGCAAGGGTTTGGTAGAGATATGAAATGGTTTTAACCGTGATCTGCTTCCTCATGGAGATTATTGAGGCTGTATGAGCTCTTCAACTGTGGTTTGTGGAGTGTTTTGCTGCTTGTCCACGGATTCACATAATGAGGGAATAGCTGAGGCTTGGTCTCGTGGAATGGGATGGATTGATGCATAAATTAATATCATTTTAGGAATAGGTTAGTAAACATGTAAGCACTCTTAAAGGAGGCAATTTGAAGAAAATAACAATTCTTTCAATAAGAGTCAGTATTCCTTTTAAAGACATAATTATGAAAAAATATTAACCAACAAAAAAAGAAATAAGGCACATGTAACAGGTGTTATAAGATATTTGTCATTAACTTGGGAACTTTTCTAATCCCTATCTGATGTCCAGCAGTACATCTGTACATCAGATGTATAGACGATTTATGTTGTTGAACAGAAGTGCTTCTCAAACTTTTTGATTAACTTCCCAACTTAAGAAAAATTTCTCCTTCACTCACTACTTGTATACAATAAAACCTCAAATTAATCAAAATATACCAAATAAAACATGCTAGTTGAGTATTGTTTCTTCGTTATATTTAAAGACCCTTGTTCTGTTAGAACTTTGTGCTTGGTGATCTAGGAAAAGGGTCTTAAAATCATCTTAAACTAGCTTTATTAATTTCAGACGTAGACAGCTGCGTTCAGTAATATCCAGAGGGCCTCGTTTTTTGTTGACATATATTATCCTCTACAGCAGTAAATACTCACTACACGAGATAAGTCCCAAGAAGTGAAGTTAAGTCAATCTGATGAGCATCGAGTTAATTTTAAAACTGTTTTCCCCCTATTCACAAATTCCCCCACCCTTTAAGTATAATTCACCACCAAATTCCCATTCTTTCCAAATGTCACCCAAAAACCTCCAAATTCACCCCTGGTGCATATGGACATGGGATGAGAAACACTGTTCTACAGTAAGAGGAAGGATCATCTGCAATAGAATTATATAGTGATGTATTAAGAGAAGTAAAAATCTACTGTAGATTTTCCATAGGGCCAGAGAACGAGTAAAGTACATTTATTTAAAGGGACAGTTTCGCCATATTTTTCACCGATTGTACCTTAGTTTCAGAAACGGGAATTCCTTTTTTTAGCTAAACCAATCAGTAATAGTAAGATAAGTAACTATTTACAGTAGACAAATTTGCTAAAGTAAGAGAAGTAAAGATCTACAGTTATTTTATGTAGTGCTATATTAAGAGAGTTTACGATTCACACTAGATTTATATAGTGTTACAGTAAGCGAAATAAATAAATCTTCAATCTACAGCAGATTTTTATAGAGTTATAGTAAGAGACGGAAACTGTAGATTTATATACATTGCAATAGTAAGAGACGTAAACTCTACAAGTAAGGGACATAAAAGGCAAGATCTACAGTAGATTTATACAGCTATAGTAAGAGAAATAAATATATACAGAAACATATGCACCTGCTATAGTAGAGAATCTGCATAACATTTATAAAGGGCCAGGGCAAGTAAAATCTACGGTACATTTATTTACATTTAGTACTTCATGCGCAATAGTAAGAGAGTAGATTTATTTAGAGCGAATTAGAGTCTACTAGATGTATATAAAGCTATATTCATAGAAGTAAGGGTTTAAGTTAGATTTATATGGTTCAATGCAAGCACAGGAAAATTGTCCCAGGAAATAAATATAAAAAGATGGCATTTTTAACTTGTGGTTAGATAAAACAGAACGTTATATAGCAATACGAACGCTACTGTATAGGCGTCTATGATAGATAGCTTTATAACATGCACTTGATTCTTTATCTTTTCGTGTAAATAAAACATATTTAAGGTGAAATTTATGTTTTCTGTGATTTGGCTACATGATAAATATAAAATATTACAAAATCAACATTGGGAATGTTAGTAGGTTAACATGTCTAACAGATATTGTTAATTTAAAAATAAAGGTAATAAATTAAGAAATAAAAGATAAATATTATCACATTTCTTGTTTTTCTAAATCTTAACATAAAATCTTTCAGAGTAAAACCAGAGGTTTAAGAATTATATTGTATTTAATGATCACAAGGTCAATGAACCAACGAATTGAAAAGGAATGAACAAAAAAAATATGCCATTTGTACATCAAAAGAACCATTCTCAAAAATGAATATAGAATGTCAATTACATGTATCAAAAAAACTATTCACTCATTTCAAGATATTTTATAACATGCAATTTACTACAAATGCTCTAAAGATGTTTTTGTAGAACGACAATGTATACCGTTTTAATTAAATTGGCATTAAATGTCCATTATCTCTACAGACAAGATATTTATACATGTATTACTTATTGATTTTTCAAATAATTCGGCATTACATTTAATATTCTTAACTTACATTTATTCAGACAAATAAACGCCCAACCTAAGTTGTGTTTTATTTTTGTATAAATAAGATGATTATTATGTTATACAATAAATCACCTCTATACATCACATGATAAAATCAATGAAAAAATAGCCTGAAAACAAAAGTAGCAGGTGATTTTAAAAGAGCTATAATCACTGTTTCGACATTTCATTTGGCTTATCAGTGAACAGATTAAATTTTCTAGTTGTTAGATTAAATATAAATAGACAAGGAAGTATGGGTATCAAAGTTGAATAAAATGCGTTTTATTCCACCCAACACAAAACATCAATGAAAATATCATTGTCAAATAAATCAGAAAAATGAGTAAAATTTGATAATCTTAAAGAAATATACAACGTCTTAGATTTAGAATGAACATAAAAATTAAGAATTTCAAACTTGGTCAATAAGAGCACATAATCATCAGTAGATATACCTAGTGTCATAAATAACATAACAGGATCCTTATATAATCCGATAAATCCAAAAAACATAGTAATTATCCATAAATATGCAATTACCTATTAAGCGTTTTTCAATAATTACTTGGTTTTATGAATTTTCCAATTTTCCAGGAGATTCTGTTGTAACTATATATGTGACATCAGGTAAGTTCACTGATGAATATAATATACCCACATTGACCATTCTTGAGAACTTAAATTTTATGTTCATTCTAAGACGTGGTATCACTTTAAAGAGGACACCTTTTTTCTGTTTTCATGTGATATCTGCTTTTACCAATGTTCCGAATACTTAGTATTCAGTCAGTGGCTAAACTACCAAATGACTGGTTGAACCAAGTTCATGGGCCACCAACCCTAGAAAAACTGTACCAAAGTATACAATTATAATCAAACTAAGCAACCAGCAAAATATAAAGGAGTGAAATAGAATTAACTACAGATTGAAAATCTATACAGGCATTTAATTGACTTAGAGAGGGTTCCCAGAATGCACGAGAGAATATGTTAAAATTTGATTGAATGATGAAAAAGAGAAAAGGTTTGGATCTTATTGCAGATAAATTATGATTACGTCTCAAGGTATCACAAGATCTGAAAGAATAATAAAGTTTCATAAAATGTTTCGAAACAATTGTAAGATATCTTCGCCTTCACTATCAAATGTATTATGACGGATTAATATTTTCAATATTATACACATCATGTTGATAACATCTGCTACCAAAATATCTTTCATTGCATTCAAATCAAGCTTAGAACAAAGTGTTCTCCAAATCTTGATCTATCAGTTAGATTGTATTTGTCATTCTCTTCAATTATTACACATATTGTCATGTTAAGTACTTTACCAAATGTTTAACGACATCTCATTTCTTTGGAAAATACGATCTAACAATTTGTATCCGTATTTAAGGAAATTTCATTAACGCGGGTTCAATGACATCGATTGCCTTGGGGAAACAAAATAGAAAGTTTGAGTGCAAGAATTTTAGCTCAAGAGATAACACAACACTAAAGAATCCTCTGCAGATGATTTGAAACTAAACTATTAGTTGTGCAGAATGTTACTAGGCGAGATTTTTCCTATAAATTGTTTAGATTTTCACTTATTTCAATTAAACAAGGCTTTTAACACGAGTAAACATTTGATGTAAGATAAGGATTTGGAGTTCTAAAAATTCTCTACATTCTTTTAACTTTTTATATCACATTATTTCAACTTGCACAATGGTTACTTTTACGATTATATTTTGGTTTAAACTCTTTGTTAGGTAGCACTCTTCTGTTGTTGGTCGTTGAACCTCTTTTTGGTTATAACGCAGAAAAACAGGTTCATGCAAATGACGATAGTATCGTATTCGCACTTCTATCCTGACCAAATTTCTCATCATCCACAATATGGCGTTGCAGCACAGTTCTAAAGTGGTAGACCTGAAAGCTCTTCATTGTATCGGGTGAAGGAATAAGAATTTAAATTTAAAACCAACACACCCTTGACAGATCCAATAAAGAAACTACGTATAAAAATTTACAGTTTTCATAGCATTAAAATAATATCAACGTCACTGCCAAAATATTTCCTATATGGAACAACCAAAATTTAACAATATTTATGACACAGATGAATCATTTACTTACTGGACCATTTTCAATTATTTCAGACTTTTCAACACTTTGATATCGGCATAATTTTTCTATAGGGAAGGATTAGAGTCGGGATAAAATTGGTTAGATTATAATAACAATATTTTATCAGGAGAAACATGATCAGAAACCAAAGTGTCCATTTTATACCATAATGAAATATTGCTTGTACAACTGTTAGTCTTTTGGAAGCATGTTGTTGTGAGCATCTTTTTTATTAACAATATCGACGAATACAGCAGTTTACTTGCTAGTACAATACAGACAATTTTATCAATCGCATACACAGACGACACGTTTCACGACAACCAGATCAGGCACCTGTGTGACCATTAGAAGGATTAGTCTATACAGCTATTGAACTTTCAATTAATATTTATGACACAGATGAATCATTTACTTACTGGACCATTTTCAATTATTTCAGACTTTTCAACACTTTGATATCGGCATAATTTTTCTATAGGGAAGGATTAGAGTCGGGATAAAATTGGTTAGATTATAATAACAATATTTTATCAGGAGAAACATGATCAGAAACCAAAGTGTCCATTTTATACCATAATGAAATATTGCTTGTACAACTGTTAGTCTTTTGGAAGCATGTTGTTGTGAGCATCTTTTTTATTAACAATATCGACGAATACAGCAGTTTACTTGCTAGTACAATACAGACAATTTTATCAATCGTATACACAGACGACACGTTTCACGTGACAACCAGATCAGGCACCTGTGTGACCATTAGAAGGATTAGTCTATACAGCTATTGAACTTTCAATTAATATTTATGACACAGATGAATCATTTACTTACTGGACCATTTTCAATTATTTCAGACTTTTCAACACTTTGATATCGGCATAATTTTTCTATAGAGAAGGATTAGAGTCAGGATAAAATTGGTTAGATTATAATAACAATATTTTATCAGGAGAAACATGATCAGAAACCAAAGTGTCCATTTTATACCATAATCATTTTAATTGCTACTATTAAGGGATCTATTTAATTTGCTGTATTTAGAATATTGAAATATATGTAAAGCAGCAACGGTATATATTCCTAAAGAAATATAAGACCCAAACAATTACAGTGAAACCCCGATATCCGCACGCTTTTTACTGGGAAGTGTAGTCGATTAAACCTTTACCAATAGGCCAAACTCACTAAGAGTCAGCTTGGCTTAATTCTAACCCCAAACCTAATTGCAAATACAATTTCGCAGTGATATTTTCATACGGTTTCATGTTGATTTCTTATTATTTTCCTATTTTTTTGAATTTCTGTTACTTATAACGTTTATTAGTATATATGATAAATAATACATCTGTACATTATCTGGTAGAATATTTTGTCCTTTACTGTATCATGTTAGACAGCCGCGATGGCTCAGTGAGTTAGAGCATATAGATCGAGATTATACCTTCATTTTGAACTCGTTTCCCGGAGTGGCTGACATGTGTACGTGTACGTTTGAAGAGTAGGACGTAAATTTCCATTCATTTCATGTCACTGTATCATTCCATGGTGCTTTCAAAACTGAATTTTTATTGTTTATGTCGGATTATATTTTAAAATACAGTAGACATGCTTGAATACTCATTTTCTGTCATGCAATGATCAATATACACCTGATTAGGGCTTGTCTAACGAAGTCTCCTTTCCGCTCACTGTCTGTCATGGAACACGTTTCATCTATCAAATATGGAGAAAATGTTGCTTCATATTCTGAATTTGTGTCGAAATCGGTCAAGGGAAATAGCTCACAATCATTATTTAACCATTCATAAAATTTAGTAGAATGCCTTCAAAATAAGCCGAATTTTTGGCGTCTTATAAAATATCCATATAAGAGCGCCAACTTTCAGTTTATTATAATATTCTCTATTTAAATCTGTATCTACCAATCGTCTAGAGATAATATTAATTTTAATACAGGATATATTAAGAATGATATATAGACATGATATTTCCGGAATCTGACAAATGTCAGAGTTAAAACCGTAGCTTGTTGGAACCCAGATCTGATATCTCAGTAGTCTGAAATATTAGTCTACACTTCTGTTAAATATTATTCCAGTCTATTCTTATGTTACATATAACATATTTTGTTTTACCTTTCAGTAGCAGGAAATTGTAACAGCATCAGTGAGTGAACGTTAACAATTTGGCAACGGATAGAATGGTATTACAATTTGTCATTTTAACATATTTGTGTATTGGCTTTTAGTCAATCAATCATTTAAGGCTGATAGCCTGTAAAAAAGTAAGACACAACTACATATCGACTGGAGGTATGTTTTACTGCTACCAGGTATAAGATGGTTTGTGTTGTTGTAATTAGATAATGGCATGATATGACCATGGAAATATGACTTCAGGCTAATATAACATAAAATTACTTTTTGAAAATCCACCATGTTTGATTCAGCTTTAAATACATTGTATGTTAGACCTTGATCTACTGCGTATTATATATTAATTACATTACAACATACAGATAGTAACAATCTATTAGAACTAAAAAGAACCCCGAAATCAATGATTAATCCTCACATGCGAAATATATCGAAAGCTTAGGCCTTAAAACCTATAACAGGTTGATTCATTAGTAATAAGTAACCTCTTTCTATATTGGGGCACCAACGTTTAGTTCATAATAATAAACAGAAATCTTCACCTATCAATCATCTGGAGATAGTATTAATTATAATATTCTTTATTATAAGGTTCTTTATTTTCGGGTACAAATCTTACCCAGGTTCTTCATTCTGAAGTACAAATCTTATACAGGTTCTTTATTCTGAAGTACAAATCTTATCCAGGTTCTTTATCCTGAGGTATAAATCTGATCCAGGCTCTTTATTCTGAAGTGCAAATCTGATCCAGGTTCTTTATTCTGAAGTACAAATCTTATACAGGCTCTTTATTCTGAAGTACAAATCTTATCCAGGTTCTTTATTCTGAAGTACAAATCTTATCCAGGTTCTTTATTCTGAGGTATAAATCTCATCCAGGTTCTTTATTCTGAAGTACAAATCTTATCCAGGCTCTTTATTCTGAAGTACAAGTCTTATCCAGGCTCCTTATTCTGAAGTACAAATCTTACCCAGGCTCTTTATTCTGAAGTACAAATCTTATCCAGGTTCTTTATTCTGAAGTACAAGTCTTATCCAGGCTCCTTATTCTGAAGTACAAATCTTACCCAGACTCTTTATTCTGAAGTACAAATCTTATCCAGGTTCTTTATTCTGAAGTACAAATCTTATCCAGGTTCTTTATTCTGAAGTACAAATCTTATCCAGGTTTTTTATTCTGAGGTATAAATCTCATCCAGGTTCTTTATTCTGAAGTACAAATCTTATCCAGGTTCTTTATTCTGAAGTACAAATCTTATACAGGCTCTATATTCTGAAGTACAAATCTTATCCAGGCTCTTTATTCTGAAGTACAAATCTTACCCAGGTTCTTCATTCTGAGGTACAAGTCTTATCCAGGTTCTTTATTCTGAGGTACAAGTCTTACCCAGGTTCATCATTCTGAGATACAAATCTTACCTGGGTTCTTTATTTGGAGGTACAAGTCTTACCCAAACTCTTTATTCTGAGATACAAGTCTTAACCAGGTTCTTTATTTTGAAGTACAAGTCATAACCAGGTTCTTTATTCTGAGATACAAATCTTATCCAGGTTCTTTATCCTGAGGTACAAATCATACCCAGGTTCTTTTTTTTGAAGTACAAGTCATACCCAGGTTCTTTATTCTGAGGTACAAGTCATACCCAGGTTCGTTATTCTGAGGTACAAGTCTTACCCAGGTTCGTTATTCTGAGGTACAAGTCATACCCAAGTTCTTTATTTTGAGGTACAAGTCTTACCCAAGCTCTTTATTCTGAGATACAAGTCTTACACAGGTTCTTTATTTTGAGGTACAAGTCATATCCAGGTTCTTTATTCTGAGGTACAAGTCATACCCAAGCTCTTTATTCTGAGATACAAGTCACACCCAAGTCATAACCAAATCATAACTATCCCTTAAAACCTATCCCTCAATACATAACGATCCCTTAAATCATAACTATCCCTTAAAATCTATCTCTCAATAACTAACGATCCCTTCAATCATAACTACCCCTTAAAAACGTATCCTTCAATACATAACGATCCCTTAAATCATAACTATCCCTTAAAACCGATCTCTCAATATATAACGATCCCTTCAATCATAACTACCCCTTAAAAACGTATCCCTCAATAAATAACGATCCCTTCAATCATAACTATCCCTTAAAACCCATCTCTCAATAACTAACGATCCCTTCAATCATAACTACCCCTTAAAAACGTATCCCTCAATACATAACGATCCCTTCAATCATAACTAGCCCTTAAAACCTATCTCTCAATATATAACGATCCCTTCAATCATAACTATACCTTAAAATCTATCTCTCAATAAACAACGATCCCTTCAATCATAACTATCCCTTAAAACCTATCTTTCAATACATAACGACCCCTTCAATCATAACTATCACTTAAAACCTATCTCTCAATATATAACGACCCCTTCAATCATAACCATCCCAAAAAACCAATCTCTCAATATAAAACGACCCCTTCAATCATAACTATCCCTTAAAACCTATCTCTCAATATATAACGATCCCTTCAATCATAACTATCACTTAAAACCTATCTCTCAATATATAACGACCCTTTCAATCATAACTATCCCTTAAAACCTATCTCTCAATATATAACGAACCCTTCAATCATAACTATCCCATAAAACCTATCTCTCAATATATAACGACCCCTTCAATCATAACTATCCCTTAAAACCTATCTCTCAATAAATAACGATCCCTTCAATCATAACTATCCCTTAAAACCTATCTCTCAATATATAACGACCCCTTCAATCATAACTAGCCCTTAAAATCTATCTCTCAATAAATAACGATCCCTTCAATCATAACTAGCCCTTAAAACCTATCTCTCATTACATAACGACCCCTTCAATCATAACTAGCCCTTAAAACCTATCTCTCAATGTATAACGACCCCTTCAATCATAACTATCACTTAAAACCTATCTCTCAATACATAACGACCCCTTCAATCATAACTATCCCTTAAAACCTATCTCTCAATACATAACGACCCCTTCAATCATAACTATCACTTAAAACCTATCTCTCAATATATAACGATCCGTTCAATCATAACTATCACTTAAAACCTATCTCTCAATACATAACGACCCCTTCAATCATAACTATCCCTTAAAATCTATCTCTCAATAAATAACGATCCCTTCAATCATAACTAGCCCTTAAAACCTATCTCTCAATACATAACGATCCCTTCAATCATAACTATCCCTTAAAACCTATCTCTCAATATATAACGATCCCTTCAATCATAACTATACCTTAAAATCTATCTCTCAATATATAACGATCCCTTCAATTATAACTATCCCTTAAAATCTATCCCTCAATACAGAGCGATCCCTTAAATCATAACTATCCCTCAAAACCTATCTCTCAATACATAACGACCCCTTCAATCATAACTATCACTTAAAACCTATCTCTCAATACATAACGATCCCTTCAATCATAACTATACCTTAAAATCTATCTCTCAATATATAACGATCCCTTCAATTATAACTATCCCTTAAAATCTATCCCTCAATACAGAGCGATCCCTTAAATCATAACTATCCCTCAAAACCTATCTCTCAATACATAACGACCCCTTCAATCATAACTATCACTTAAAACCTATCTCTCAATACATAACGACCCCTTCAATCATGACTATCACTTAAAACCTATCTCTCAATACATAACGACCCCTTCAATCATAACTAGACCTTAAAACCTATCTCTCAATTTATAACGGCCCCTTCAATCATAACTATACCTTAAAATCTATCTCTCAATATATAACGATCCCTTCAACATAACTATCACTTAAAACCTATCTCTCAATACATAACGACCCCTTCAATCATAACTAGCCCTTAAAACCTATCTCTCAATATATAACGGCCCCTTCAATCATAACTAGCCCTTAAAATCTATCTCTCAATAAATAACGATCCCTTCAATCATAACTAGCCCTTAAAACCTATCTCTCAATTTATAACGGCCCCTTCAATCATAACTAGCCCTTAAAACCTATCTCTCAATATATAACAATCATAACTAGCCCTTAAAACCTATCTCTCAATATATAACGACCCCTTCAATCATAACTATCACTTAAAACCTATCTTTCAATATATAACGATCCCTTCAATCATAACTATACCTTAAAATCTATCTCTCAATATATAACGGCCCCTTCAATCATAACTATCACTTAAAACCTATCTTTCAATATATAACGATCCCTTCAATCATAACTATACCTTAAAATCTATCTCTCAATATATAACGGCCCCTTCAATCATAACTATCACTTAAAACCTATCTCTCAATAACTAACGATCCCTTCAATCATAACTATACCTTAAAACCTATCTCTCAATTTATAACAATCATAACTAGCCCTTAAAACCTATCTCTCAATATATAACAATCATAACTAGCCCTTAAAACCTATCTCTCAATATATAACGACCCCTTCAATCATAACTAGCCCTTAAAACCTATCTCTCAATTTATAACGGCCCCTTCAATCATAACTATCACTTAAAACCTATCTTTCAATATATAACGATCCCTTCAATCATAACTAGCCCTTAAAATCTATCTCTCAATAAATAACGATCCCTTCAATCATAACTAGCCCTTAAAACCTATCTCTTAATATATAACGGCCCCTTCAATCATAACTAGCCCTTAAAACCTATCTCTCAATATATAACAATCCCTTCAATCATAACTAGCCCTTAAAACCTATCTCTCAATATATAACGGCCCCTTCAATCATAACTATCACTTAAAACCTATCTTTCAATATATAACGATCCCTTCAATCATAACTATACCTTAAAATCTATCTCTCAATATATAACGGCCCCTTCAATCATAACTATCACTTAAAACCTATCTTTCAATATATAACGATCCCTTCAATCATAACTAGCCCTTAAAATCTATCTCTCAATAAATAACGATCATAACTAGCCTTTAAAAACAAAACTTTGAATGGATCAAAGATAACTAGCATTAAAAACTTACATATTCCTTATTACATAACGATCCCTTAAATCTATAACGAAATTTATACATACGTTGTAGATGTACAAGTTTCAAACTGATGCAAAATGTTTTTAATATCGAGAGAGCCTTTTATATGGCAACAAAAGCCATAACGGATACAAATCATACATACTTACGAAGTATTTTATTAATATAATACAATAAATTCATTCTTACCAGTAAAACAGATAAATATTCCTAAAATCCTTTTCATTTTATCGGCACCCTGAGAAGATTCCAATTTGCCAGCTTTTAAGCGTGATAATTTTATAGAATATAAGTTGAGACCAGATAATTCCGCAGATGTATTGAAGAAGAGCTTTAGATACGGGAACTGGCTGATAGCGTCAGATTATGGCAGTTTCTCTTCTACATTCGTTCATGTGATATATTTTGGTACTGATCAGCAAATCAACTTTAAGATGTAATTTCAGTAATTTAATAAACGTACAGATCTAAAGCTCTCTATAAAATCTAAACAAAGTGGATAATCGCGTGGTAAGTGGATGTAGAAAGTTTTGTAACCAGCTGCACTATAACAAAGTATT